TTCCACGATGAAATGATTTACCTTCACATGAGAATCCAGCCCCCATTACCAGTTTTTACACTCACACTGCAAACTATTCTTTAATCACTGGAAAGGGTATGGAAGTGTGGTGCTCCAAAGACCTAACTTATAACGAAACAGTAAAAAACAGAAAGGCTAAAGACATCAAGAAGTGCCCTCCTACCTGCACTAGGTGAGAGGAAAGAGTCTTACCTCTGGGTCCGAAATAAGGTTAAAAACATGTCTGATAATGTGGCAGTGCTTAAAGTACACCAGTGGAATACAGCCTCCTGGCTACCACTAGAGGTAAATCCTATGGCAGGTTTCCAGATGTCTGAGAAAAACCAGACCAACAACAAGATGACATGAGAGGCAAGCATGGATGCCTGGTTAGAAACAGGACAGACCTCCTTAAACAGCATCAGTATCAAACAACAAGAGCAAATATCTAACCTCTCACATGCAATACCAAAAATGTCCGCAATAACCCAATCCATTACACATACTACATTTCATTACTAAGATGCCTTCTTTGTCATATTAATCACTCCCCATGCGTTATGTGCAAGCTCAGGGCAGACTCAGTTCATTAATTTATCTTTTTTTTTTTTTTTTAATTTTTTTTTTAAATGTTTTATTTATTCCTGAGAAGGAGAGAAAGTATGAGCAGGGGAGGGTCAGAGGGAGAGGGAGACACAGAATCTGAAACAGGCTCCAGGCTCTGAGCTAGCTGTCAGCACAGAGCCCGACGTGGGGCTCGAACCCACAAACTGAGATCATGACCTGAGCCAAAGTCGGACACTTAACCAACTGAGCCACCCAGGCGCCCCTCATTAATTTATCTTCAGCATGCACATTCCAGAGGTTAAGGTAGTCCTTGACAAAGTGGGCTTCTGGCCCAGAAACTATGTCCTACACAGACAGGGATAAGAGCCTGCTCTAAAGAAGTGTGACCGAGTCACAAAATTCGTCACACACTAACTTCCAAAGACCTTGCAAGGACTTTCTTCTCCAAGAAAATAACTGAATCAGTAAACAAGAATTTCTGAAGAATCTTAACCATGACAAAGTTCCTCTCTTATACTCACAAAAACATTAAGATGAACAGTTTCCATTATTACTGTAAAGCTAACCTAAAATCATTGACCCGTAGCTCTGACATTAAGATATACACATATCACTACCTCTATGTCTGTTGCTGATTCAATTCTTCCAGTTAGCTGCCTGGGGTTCCAAACTGGTTGAGTGTAAGCAGATTATCTTGGCTTACTGATAATCCGTTTTTTTTAATTTGATTTAAAAAAAAAAAAAAGCTAATTCAATCTTAAAAGCTAACTTTAACACCAATATTATGCAATGAAAACCTCTTAACTCTGTCTTTTATAATCCAGACAATTCCTAGACATGTTTAGAATAACTTTTCTACAGTAGGAACAGTCCAGAAACAAATCTATCTCCTGAAAACAAAGGTTAATTAGTCACTGTAACCCACCTGATAGAACACAGGCCTGAGAGCGTGAAACTCGGAAGGTCTCAGTCTCCCACAGCAGGGCGCACTTCTGCAGAATGTCTTCTCCTACAGCCCTTTTGCTTTTGAAATGTCAGTATTGTTTTAAGCAGGCAACAAAAAGGCTGCTTTCTTTTACTCTCTCTGCAGACAAGCTTCTGTCTTAGGTTGAGCCTAGTGAACACTAAGGATCACAGCACTGGTACTGGTTCCTGTACATTTCACAGACTGCTGTATACGATGCCCTGTCAGGCTGGTGGTGGGAACGAAGGTCACAAGCATACCTACCCTCCCACTCAGCCATGCTAAGAAATACTTTCTAATAAGAGGCGACAATTCTTTTTTTTTTTTTTAATATTTTTATTTATTTCTAGGAGAGAGAGAGAGAGACAGTGTGAGCAGGGGAGGGTCAGAGAGAGGGAGTCACAGACTGAAACAGGCTCCAGGCTCTGAGCTGGCAGTCAGCACAGAGCCCGACGCGGGGCTCGAACCCACGAACCGCGAGATCATGACCTAAGCGAAAGTCGGACGCTTAACCGACTAAGCCACCCAGGCGCCCCAAGAGGTGACAATTCTTATGCAACACCCTGAAATATAAATTAACTTCAGAAAGGTAAGAATTTTAGAGCTGTGGTCCACAGACTAAGAATACTGGTTCCCTGGAGCACAGAATGCGAACGAAACCCCGTGGGGAGAAAAGATTCTTCCCCAGCACACAGAGTAATAAGGAACAAAGTTATGCCTCTTTCAACACCTCTCCTTTTCTCCTCCCACCCCCTCCCTCCCAGTACAGAGCTCCAGATCTCATAAAAACATAAATAGTAAATTGGGGGCGCCTGGGTGGCTCATTCAGTTAAGCATCTGACTTTGGCTCAGGTCATGATCTCAGGACTCGTGGGTTTGAACCCCGTGTTAGGCTCTATGCTCACGGCTCAGAGCCTGGGCCTGCTCTAGATTCTGTGTCTTGGTCTCTCTCTGCCCCTCCCCCGCTCATGCTTGCTCTCTCTCTCCATCTCAAAAATAAATAAAAACATTAAAAAAAAACATAAATAATAAAAATGCAGTCTGAGCCCACCTCAAAACCATCCACCCAGAAGTCTACTTAGTGGTGGTGGTAACGAAAGCTGACCGAGTCTAATTTGATCATTGGCCTGAATGAATACAGTTGATTTCACTGCAACGTTATCAACACTTTAATTTTGCTGTGCCCTTACCTCCCCCAAAAAATGTAGAAGAAAAGCCAACAAGAGAAGGTTAGACACTTTCATCTATGCCATCATGCTGTTAAGACGGGTCAGCTGGGGAGATGAAATAAAACGCTCCACACTCCTAGCTCCCAAGCCCAGACTCACTTCGGAGAACAAGGAGACCTTTTCATGGTCTAAGCCTCTGATGATCTATTGACGAGGGTCACTGCAGAGCCCAATGGGTTGGAAAAAAATGTATTCTCGTCAAGGCAAAAAAAGGAAAAGGCATAAGGGGTAGCTGGAGCAGAGGCAGTGAACGCTGAAGCAGCGAGGGAAGGAATTACAATCCTGTGTCAACGCTGACCAGGTGCACGAACAGAGACCAAGAGAAGGAGGCGATGAGCTAAGGAGATGCACTGATGTTCAGTCTAAGAATGCATTCAGAGACACTGACAGCTACTTTTCCCACTGTCCTCTGGTCTTGAAGCCCCACCGCACTGACCTGCGGAAGATAACTGTAGATGTGTACCTACAAAGCATATATCTAAGCAGACTAATTAAAAATGATTTACAAAAAAAAATATGTTGGAAAGCAGAATGCAAAGTAGACACCAGTGCACGCCTTACTCAAAGCCATAGCAACAAGTTAAGAAAACAGAAAACATTTTTTTAGTGTCTATTGTGTGTTAGGCATAATAGAAGAGCTTCACATAGGTTCCCTCATAGAATACTAACAATGACGGTAGGAGGTAAGTGGCACTATCCCACTTTTAGAGATGTGGAAACTAAGAGTCAGAGTAAGTTTAAGTAGCTTGCCCAAGGTCACGTGACCAATAAATCTTAGTACAGTACTGAAACTTTGATCCATCCAGCTCTAACGGCCATACGTACCTTTCTTACTGACACACACACACACACACACACACACGCCCAGTTCGTTTCCCAACCAGGACATGACACAGAACAAAACTCACCAGGGTACCACTCAACCTTTACCTACTACCTATCATAAAAGTATTAAGAATCAGCCAGGCCTCCCTTCCAGAGCCACTCAGCTCTTCTGTCACATCCCATGGACTTCAACCACAGCACTATTCTCCGCTACCAGAAACCCACGAGTCTTACAAAAATTACCTTTACAAGTATGCTCTGACTCCCTCTCGAACCATGGCCTATGCTGCTGAATGCACTGATGATTCTTCTGCTGACCCAGAATTCTTCAGACCAGCTATTAAAGAGCAGCTGGTATCTTCTTTAACCCTGACCTTACAACTATGTCCTGAAAAACTGGAATTCTGAAGCCGACTGAACTCGGACACCAACTAATGGCGGCACCATTTCCCAGCTTTCGGTGACCAGCAGGCGAAGATTCTCCTCTAAACAGAAATAACAGCGCAAAGCCCTGAGAAGGGAAGAGACCTGATTTGACAAAGGGCTGAAGAACAGAACTCAGACAAACTAATTCCCAGCTTTTAACAATGTAAGAAACATGATCCACAGAAAAGCAATGACACACGGGGCAAATGAATAAAGGAAGCGGGAGACACATTCCCTTCTAGGCTTAACGGGGGTTATTTGAAGATACACAGCAACAGTTCAGGACAGAAAATCAAGACGCCCACAGCCCATAAAACTTGTCAGAGTGATTTAACCCAAGCTGGAACACAGCCAAGAACAATACCCCAACTCTTTGGGATACTGAGGTAGGAATTTTATGACTGGAGTGGTCAGCACTTGGGCATCAGGGTAGGGTCTGTCTTGGACTCAGGAATTTAAATGCCTTCAACTCCTACTCACCTTTCCTTCTTTATCACTGAAGGAGGGCCAGGCTGAGCTCCTGAGAAAATAGGTCTGTTGATTCACTGAAGGGCTGAGAAAAGTTAAAGTTTAAATGGCAAAAGTATCTCCACTGAACATAGTACAAAATACTTGTGAAGACATTTTGGTATCTTTTTCGACCTCCTCGGCCCTGTTTAAAACCAGATGAATTATAACTACTGAATAAATACAATAACCCAGGTAGTTACAGAAATAACACGAGCCAGGCAAGTAGTCTCCCAGCGCCACTAAAACGTAAAAGCCATTTCAAAGGAAAAGCTGAATCCTGTCAACGCTAACCCATGACCAAACCTCTCAACGAGAAGCCACAGAGCAGGGGGGGGAAATCCCGGAGAGAATGTGATAGCGCTTCTGCCGGTTTGTTTACAGAGACTCCAGCAACAATCATATGAGTCAGAAATTCAAGCCACCAGATGCTTTCCAACTAACAGAGAGCAAATGGTGCGGTTCTGCGGTGCCCTGAAAGATCTGGGGGTGAGGGGAAGTAAGCTGCGAGAATTGTATTACAAAGGGAACGAGACCGGACGGCAACAACTGACTTGGACCTCGGCCTTCCGTACAAGGTGCTGGGCCCGAGAACTCGGGATGGGGGAGGGGGCACACTGCGCGGTGGCCCCGAGGTGACGGGGAAGACGCAGGGCGACCGCTTCCCCCAACCTCAGGGGCAAACACGCGCACCCAAACGGGTCACCCGAGGGGCGAAGGCGTCCCTGTGGACTGTGGGGGCAAGCTCTCGGGGGCAACCCCAGGGCTGACCTGAGGCAAGGGCAGCCAGTCCTCCCGGCGGAGACTCGGGCCAAGGCCAGGAAAAGACCTGGGCCCTGGGAGCTTGGGAAAGGAGTCCTCCGATCTAGCCTGACGGGGAGCGGGCCAGGGGCGAGGGGGTCAGGCCAAGCCGGAACGAGACACGGACCGGGTAGGTCAAGGGGGGGGTGTCCGGCTGGGGCAGTTACAAGCACGGGAGCCGGCGAGGCTCAGCGGCCCGCTTCCCGCCTCGGGTCATCCTTCTGCCAGCGGCTGCTCCGACTGTTCCAGGCCCAGCCGCCCCGTCCACTGCCGCCACCAACGCCGCCGCCATCTTACACTGGCCAGCGGCCGCCACCACCACCGCCTCCGCTCTCGGCGCTTGCGCCTGCGCCGCCACGCTTTCCGGCCCCGTTTGCGACGAGGTGCTGGAGGAGACTGAAGGAAGAGCGGTCGCGCGAGCTCTCGGCTCCCAACCCTCCTCGGAGGACGCATAAGGGGCGGGGCTTAGGGCCAACGGAAAACAGAGCGAGGGGTGCGTGCGCACTCCCGTGAGGCGAAGCTGTTTTGGCGGCGTGCTTGGAAGGGCTCGCTCCCCTCGCCCTGCTCCGCACAAACGCGGGCTGGGGGCCCCTCCAGAGTCGTGGCGGTGGGGTGGAACTAAATTTCATGTCTAGCGCACTGGAGGGCAACCTCCTGGGCAGCCTCCATTTCCGCCCTGGTTTTGAATCCTGAGAACAAGCAGTTCTTGCCAGGTTCCCTGTGGAAACTCCCATTTCCTTTGAGGACCTTGTTTTCTTAAGTGGTTTCAATCCCTTTGAGACCCGCTTCCCCGCGAGAGCTTCCATTTACCCAGTTTTAAATTAAAAAGAAGGGATTCGGGAGCTTCAGATGCAGCTGAGCTTTTCAAGAGGCTGTTTCTCCGAAGGGAGGTGGGGAGATGTTGCAAGTTCCCCAGGATGGCCTTGGCGGTGGACACTGCTTCGTTCTGACCCCTGAAGGAGGCTTGCAGGAGGTCCCTGGGAAGGCTGCTGCCCGGCGCAGGGGCTTCTGACCAGGCCAGGGTGCAAGAACCTGACCCCGTTCACCTCTACCGCTACCGTCCTGTTACAATTCATTGTATGCTACTTAGAGTATCGCAATGAACGCCTAGCTGGTTTGTCTACTTCCATTATTGACTTCCTAGTTAAACAGAAGGCAGCGAGTGACCTTTTAAAATGTAAGTCAGGTCATATTATTACCCCCAAAGCTTCCCCATCACACAGTCAGTAAAAAAGACAATAGCTTCCAAAGAAGGCCTTACAGGATTTAGCACCTATTTCTCGGATTTCATCTCCCATACTGTCTACCTCTGCTCTAGCGTTATGGGCCTTGTCCACTCTTAACTCCAGCCAAAGCATCATCCATCCCTAAAGGGCTTCTGCATTTGTTCCTTCTTGGGATTTTAATCCATCAGATCTTTACTAGACTTGCTCTCTCCACTCAGATCTCTACCGAAACCCTCCAGAGAGGCAGCTCTTGACTGTTCCAACTAGAATGATACCCTACACCACCATCCTCCTCTGCCTTCTCACTCCACGTTTTTTTTTTTCATGACAATTTCTACCTGTGACATTTAACCTATAATTATGTATTTGTAACTGTAAAATACCACTAGAATATAAGCTCTATAAGGGTAGGGACTATGTCTTTGTCACCCCAACATCTAGAAGAGGACCAGAGCACAAGGCAGCTATCTGATGATGCCTTACCATTCTACCCATTCTTTCATTCACTCCATCAACCTACGCTGAATTCCTATAATGTGTGTAAGCTCCTGTTCTAGGTACTGGGGCTGAAGCAGTGAATAAAACACCAAGATTCTTGCATTGACAGAACATATTTATCAGAGCAGGGGGTTGGGAGGGTAGAAGGAGGGAGAGGTCACAAAGAAAATAATACTAAGTTATGAAGACTAGTGGAAAATAAAGCAAGGTAAAAGTGGGTTATCTGAGTAGGTGTGCTCTTTTACAGAGGCGGTTCAGGGAAGGCCCTCTGCTGAGGTGACATTTGAAGAAAGATTTGAAGTGAGAGAGTGAATCATATACACCGGGGGGAGAACCTTCTAGGCAGAGGAAGTAACAAGGTAAAAAGACCTGAAGTTTGAGTGTGCTTGGTGTATTCAAAGAACAGCGGGGAAGCCAGTGTGGCAAAAGAGCAGATTAGTTTAGAGAAACGTGATCAGAGCCAGATTACTCCCAGATTTATAGACCAAGAAGAGGACTTTGGATTTTATCTCCTATGAGTGTTAGGAAGGCATGGAGGATTCTGAGTAAAAGGGTAATGTGATCAGATTTATAAACGAATAGATTTACTCTGGTTGATTCTTTGAAAACTGCCTCAGGGAGGCAAAATAGAAGCTGAAAGACCAGTTAGGAAGCTATTGCAAAAGATCTGCAAGACTAGTGTTGCAGTGGAAGTGGCAGGAAGTGACTGGATTCAGGAAATACTTTGAGGGTGGCAGAGTTGCTCTGCTAATAGATTGAGTATGGAGTGCAAGATAAAGAGTCAAGCTGTCTCAGGCTTTTTGACTTGGGCAACAGGATAAACAGTAATGCCATTTGCCGAGATAGAACTCGAGGCAGGAGGGGTGGCCAGGAGGAGGGTTTTGGTTGGAAAAATGTCCAGTTCTATTTTAGACATGTTAAACTGGAGGTGCCTATTAGATTTCCAAATGGAGCTACTGAGTAAACAATTGAAATATGAATCTGAGGCTCACAGGAGAAGACAATTGCTGGTATAAACCGGCGAGTTATTAAGGTATAAATGGCATCTATAACCATGGGTGGTGGGGAATGCTTGCTTAGTTAGCATGGAAGGTAAGAAAGGCAGTCTATATATAAGCTGAGCTCTCTAATCCCAAGGCACTTCAACTAGTAAAGGTCAGGGAGAAAAAATATCCAGCAAAATTTATTTAAAAGGAGCAGCCAGGAAATAGAATTTAAAAACCAAGAGAGCAAGGAGTCTTACAAAACAAATTTTTAAAAATGTTTCAAGAAGGGCACTATCAACTGTCATTCCTGTTTAAGAGTCTGAGGTTAAGAGAACTAAAAATTGATCACTGGATTTGGAAACATGGAGGTTAAGACCTCAACAAAAGTCACTTTTGTGGAGCTATGGGGATGAAGACCTTCCACTCTGTGACCTGGTTTCTGTGCTCACTGCTTTGGACACCATTGCTGTTGCCACCAAATCTTATTTGGGGCTCTCCTGTTGCATTTGAGGTTGTGGTGATTGTTACCCCTTCTAAATATCCAATCTCACGGATTTCTGTGACACTGTATGTCAAAGTTCTGTTTATATCACTTGACCATTTATTTCATGAGCTTCTCTCGCTCTTCATTCTAAGTGTTCTTCCAAAAGGATCTTATCCATTCTCACAGTTTGAACTACCATCTATGTCCCAGTCTTTATTGCCAACCCAGGCTTCTTCAAGCTTTAGACTCACATACCTGATAGCCAATGGCACTTAAAAAAAAAAAAAAAGCTTTATTGAAATGAAATTCACATACCATACAATTCACGCATTTAAAGCGTGCGATTGGATGGCTTTTAGTACATTCACAGATATGTGCAACCATCACCACAGTTAACTTTCAACATTTTTTGTCACCTCAAAAAGAAACCAGATACCCTTTAGCTACCACCCTCTATCTTCCCATCCCCCTCTAACCCTAAAAAAACATTAACTCCTTTGTCTCTATAGATTTCCCTATTCTGGACTTCCATATGAATGGAATCATACATTTTTTTGTGTGTTTTTGGTTTATTTCACTTAGCATGTCTTCAAGGCTCACCCATGTTGCATCATGCATCAGTACTCCATTATTTTTTATAGTCAAATATTGTTCCATTGTATGAATACACATCTTGTGTATCCAATTATCTGCTGACAGTTTGGTTGTTTCTTTTGGTTATTATGAATAATGCTACTATAAACATTCATGCACAAGTTTCTGTGTGTGGATATATATTTTACTTCATTTCTCTTGGGTATATACCTAGGAGTGGAATTTCTGGGTCACACAGTTAACTGTATGCTTAATTGTTTGAGAAACTAACAGACTGTTTTTCAAAGCAGTGGTGCCATTTCACATTCACACCAGCAGTGTATGAGGGTTCCAATTTCTCCTCATCCTAGCCAACATTTGTTATCTTTTTAACTTTAGACTTCCTATTGGATATGAAGTGGTATCTCATCATGGTTTTGGTTTGCACTTCCCTGATGACTAACAATGTTAAGCATCTTTTCACCAATACAGGTGTTTATTGGACCTTTCTGTTTTCTTTGAAGAACTGCCTATTCTGATCCTTTGCCCATTTTTAAATTGTCTTCCTATTACTGAATTGTAAGAATATATATTCTAGATACAAGTCCCTTGTCAGGTATTTGACTTACAAGTACTTTCTCCCGTTCTGTGGGTTGTCTTTTCAGTTTTGATGGTCTCCTTTGAAGCACAAAGCTTTCTAATTTTGATGAATTTGTCTTTTTTTTTCTTATGCTGCTCATGCTTTTGGTGGCATATCTAAGGACCCTAGCTAAGTCCAAAGTTATGACAGTTTCACCCCCCTATTTTTAGTTATTACTTTTAGGTCTTTGACTATTTTGAGTTAATTTTGTATACAGTGTGAAGGATTGAAGCCCATTCTTTTGCAGGTGGCTATCTAGTTGTCCCAGCACCACTGTTGAAAAGACTGTTCTTTCCCCCTGGATGGTTTTGGCACCCTTGTGAAAAATCAGTTGACCAAAGATGTAGTTTATTTCTGGACTCTTAATTCTATCCCATTGGTATCAATGTCTATTCTTGTGCCAGTGCCAGACTGTTTTGATTACCATTGCTTTGTAGGGAGTTCTGAAACTGGGAAGTGTGAGTCTTCCTTCTTTTTCAGTATTGTTTTCTTATTCTGAGTCCACTGCAATTCCATGTGAATTTCAGAATTAGTCAATTTCCACAAAGAAGTCAGCTGGGATTCTGATAGGGAGAACAATGAATCTTGAGATCATTTGGGGACTCCTGCCATCTTAATGATGTTGAATGTCCTGCTCTATGAAAATGAGATGTTTTTCCATTTATTTAGATCTCCCTTCTGTCAACAATGTTTTACAGTTTTTCACAGTAGAGTTTTGCACTTCTTTTGTTAAATTTATTCCTAAGTATTTTTCCCCAAATCTTTTTTTTTTTTTTTTTTTTGAGAGAGAGAGCAAGCAAGTGAGCTGGGGTGGGCAGAGGAAGAGAAGGACAGAGGATCTGAAGCAGGTTCTGAGCTGACAGCAGTGACCCCAATGCAGGGCTCAAACCAGTGAACTGTGAGATCATGACCTGAGCTGAAGTCAGACGCTTAACTGACTGAGCCACCCAGGTGTCCCTCCCCAAGTATTCTTTTTGATGTTACTTTGAACAGGACTATTTTCTTAACTTCACTTTTGGATTGTTCATTGCAAATATATAGAACTACAATGGATTTTTGTAAATTGACCTTATGTCCTGAGAATTTCCTATATACAAGATCATGCCATCTGCAAACACAGTTTTATTTCCTCCTTTCCAATGTCAGTGCCTTTTATTTCTTTCTCTTGCCTAACTTTCTTGGCCAGAACCTTATATAAGTAGTGAGAACTGATATCCTTGTGTTATTCTTGATCTTAGGGGGAAAAGCAACCAGTCTTTCACCATTAAGTATAATGTAAGCTGTAGGGACTTCACAGATGCACTGTATCAAGTTAAGGATATTCCTTTCTCTTCCAGCCAATGGTACTTTAACATTTCCAAAATGAACTCACCTTTGCTCTACCTCTGTCAAACTCAAACTGCTCCTATTCTTATCTCTTGGCTGACACCACTGTTCTTCTGTCTTAGGCTAGATTCCCTAGAAGCAGAGCCCAAAAAAGGATTCCATGCAAATGGTTTGCAGAAGGAGTGCTCTCAAGTAAAACCTGTAAATGGAGTGAGGCAAGCAAGATAAGACAGGGGGAAAAGTTAAGTAAAGATATGGGTTCCTACATTTAGCCTCCACTGGGAACTGCTGGCACATACATGGCATATTTGTCCCACCTTGAGGAAAGGGGGGGGGGGAGATTAGTTACTATCTATTATCATTTACTGGTAACACAATTAATGATTATATGTCATCACTGATAATGCAATCTCTATCAGAATCCCATCTGATTTCCTTGCAGAAACTGGCATACCATCGGCTGTGATGCTGACCCCAGGAGGGAATACCCTTCCACAAGTTTCCAGAATTGGTTCCTCTTGGTACAGAGGACAATTCTCAAGATGCAGCTGTAAGCTATTAGTAGTCAAAATTTACACTTTCTGGTAAAGAGGATCTGGACAGAGCACCCACAATGTTTACTACAGTCCACTTCTAGCATTCCTCAGATCCATATGCCTTGTACATAAGTTCGTTCTATCCACGCATTCTGGTTGATTTCTAGGGACACTTACAAGAGGAGTCCCTAAACTGTAAATGATATCATCTCCCTTCTCTGGCACCCAGTCTAGAGTCATCTCTCCCTTGACTAGCACTTATTAGTCAAGAGGGCTCACCCAGTGAAGTAAACCAGACCCTCATTCCTGAGGGTTTTGAGCCCCAAGAGACCATGCCCTTATCAGGCTGTTATTCTTTACTTATTTATGGTTAAAACTGAGTATAGGAGGACCAAGAGATATTCCCAGGATCATATGCGCATCAAACACCTTCCTCTGTCCATATAAGCAGCAGACCGACCTTCTCATAACAGAGTCAGTTATCCCAAATAGTACGATAACTTCTTTGCTTGATAGTCTGCAGGCATTAGGAACTCAAAGTGACCAGATGACAGCCATATCTTTACGTTTATTGAGATTCTTATGTTGTGCCTGATAGAAGCATCTTCCCCCCACCCCTCACCCCCTGATCCTCAAGTCGATCACTGGGAGTGATGCTGAATAGGGTCATTTCTATTTCCAACCCTTGGTTCCAGAGCCCTGGATTCCTCCTAAGGGATGAGGATAAAGCACCCTATTATGGTCACGTAGGTTGACACTGTATTGTAAAGGACAGCACCCCATTCTTGCTGGCACCACCAATGCACCTTCAAAAGGCCATCTCAATGCTCTACCAGATCAGAAGCTTCTGGATGGGAAGGTATTTGGTAACAATAGTGGATCCCATTGTCATGGGCTCATTGCTGCATCTGCTTTGTCATGAAATGGGTCCCTTGTTCTAAGGCACTATTATGTAGGATCCTATCTATACCAGTAGATTAAACGCGTCTGAGTCCTCGGGTAGTAGTACTAGCTAAGGCACTTTAGGCAGGATAAGCAAAGCAAAGTGTATGATCAGAATAAGTGGTTGACATTTTCACAAAGGAATTGTTGCCACCCAGTGGCTTGAGCAGTGGTACTGAACTGGGGGATCAGCATTGCTCTTTGTGGCTGACAGGTTAGACATTTAGAAATAGCTGGGTCAGCCTCTGGTAAGAGAGGAGTCCATGCTAACAGGCCAATAACTAGCCTCCATCTTTGTCATCAGGATGATTCTATTCACAAGCACACTGGAAGAACTGGGCCAGGTGAGGTTCCTGATCAAATTGCTCTGTCCATTTGGTTATTAGCCAACACTTTTCTGGTGAATTCTGTAACAGGCCCACTCTCACAGACCCACCCAAATGCTCTTCACCAGACTGTCTCTTGCATTTTCCCATCTTGCACCTTCTAGGCCCCTGACCAACCAGCCCACTGACTTTGCGTTCACATATACCCTTGCCTCAGGCCACTTCTCACTCTCCAACATGGATGATCACCTATGCTGCCTAAAGACCTACTGGTTGAGAATCTGCCCTCATCACAGACTTTCAGGACCACTCCAATGGGGCTATTGAGAAGCAAGTGTCCATATTTGACTTGCCCTAAAACATCAAACCAATTCCTCATGAACCAGACTTGGATTTTTTTCATCGTCGTCGAATCAAATGGTTGCAGGGGTTCTCATGTTGCCACAGGCAGAGCTTGGACAAAGCTATCAGGGTAACAGATGTATGGAGTACAGAGGACCGGGGACCCTTGTTCAACTTAACTGATTTGTGCCCACCAAGCCTGCTTGGGCTTCTTCCCAAAGGTACTGTCTCCATTGTAAGACAAATTGCTACTGTATCCACCCAACATTATGACTTGGCAGGTCTCACAATAACCAGCTGGTTATATGGGCAACTGGTCACACAGTCACTTGATATTTTGTGGTCAAGCACCGAGTCTCTATCAGGGCCTAATCATATGCCAGGGGATGCTTTTCAAGTGATGAAACTTTCTTTGCTGCAGATGGCATAACCTTACTCCAGAACCCGAGAGATCTATCCTGGGACTCTCCTATTGTGGAGAGCCCAAGTATCCACACGTCATCTTTTCCTACCAAAGATATCTCTAGCACCACAGAATTTTCCAGGCCATTCAGCCCCAGCTGTGGGGCTGCTGGTATCATAGCCCAGATCTGCTGCAGAGGCCTTTCCTGCATTCCCCAGGACAGAATACGGTGCCTCCAAAATAGAACAGGCCTACCAAGGCACCGTGCTTCTTTCTTGGGGTAAAATACACAAGATGCAACAACTTATCCTTTACTTTTGAGAGAATTCCCAGAACGCTCCTAAAAACTTAACCAATGTGGCAGGACCATGCATCTTTGCAGGATTTATTCTCCACCCTCTGGCGTGTATGTGTCTCACCAAGGAACCTAGAATACTTGACCCCATTGTTCAGCAGGTCTGATTAGCACATCCCTGATTTCAGAGTAGCTTACACTTAACAAAGCACACAAACGTGATATTCTGTAGAACAGATTACACTGTGACAATGGGGGAGAATTAACACAGCTCCAGATCAAGATTGTGCCCATCACTTGTGAATGCAAACTGCTTCTGATACTCCTTGGAAGAATGTATTCACTAGATCGGGGGTGGGCAGGCGTTCTGTAGAGGGTCAGACAGTACACGTTAATAACCGTGTACCTATGCCAGCAGCTGTGTTACTGCCTCTCATAGAGAAAACACACCCAATGCAGTACTGCTTGGACTATTACCCACTTGAGTTTGCAGTAATCCAATGCAATCCACCTCAGGCAATCCAGGTTTTGCAAGAGCCAGACAGGTGAAATTAAAGAGTAAGTCGTGGAGACCCACACCCCAGCATCCCTCTATGTTTTTAAGCATTGAACTAATCACTGCCATTTTCCCCAGAATGCAACATTTTTTCTTTTCTATCTTGGTAGAGGTGGGGGTACAGTTTCAGGGGCTTCTACCTGGGTTTTCTGCCAGCTGGCAAGTATGTCTATTCTGATTATACATTTGGAAACTGAAAAAAATGACCATAAAGTGGGTTTCTGGACCCACTGTGAGGCAGATCCAGGCAAGCACTCCATTCTGACCCCACAGTCCCCTACTGCAATGAGGACGGGGCGTAGGGAGGGAAGCACTGTGGTGGCCCTTTGGGTCCCTGGGTATCAGTCAACTCAGGCCCACTATCCCTATTTTCCAACTTAAAAGATCTGGGCAATCTTCCCCCAGTACATGGGTGACGAAGCAAATGGATCTTTCAGTTGGTAGCCTGACTCTAAGAACGGTCTCAGGCCTAGAAAACAGACAAGGAACTTTGACTTTTCATTGAAGTTACTGATCTCATTCTTCTGTTCAATCATTCTTGATCTCTCAATTAAATATAAATCAATACCTTCCTTGAATGTCCATTTCTCTGGTCCCTGGGACCACCCACATTCCATTAGCCATCTCCACTTTGAACATGCTGCCCTTACGGAAACCCAACCACCCTGACTCTGAGAGTTAAGTGTTGCCGTTTGGCTTCCGCTATGCCAGGAGCCCATCATCCCCACTGCTACAAGGGAAACCAGTTCTTACACATTCCCTTCCAGCAGCCTCCACCCACAGAGACAGCCACTTCTAAACTTCCTGAACATGCCAGTGACCCATTCATTAGTGCTTTTCCTTTACCAAAAAAAAAAAAAAAAAAAAAAAATCCCAGGCCTTCCTGAGGAACATAGTTGGCTGGTGGGTTTTCCAGTGTAATACACATTCATTCTTGCATGCCCACTTCCTGTAAGCCTTTTGATCATTTCTCGTGAAGTCTATCATCTCAACTTTATTTACTGTGGACCATCATTTTTTCCAAGCTCCTCAAGCCATCTAGACAGCGTATGATAAGCACCTCTTGACCTTGCCAGGATGGTCTGGAGTCACGGGAAAATATCCTCGTTATCAAATTCTGTATGAATTCAATTCCTACTTCATGAAACCATCCAAACAACTATAAATTTATTTTCTAACATACAGAATTTTGGAACAAAGGGGTACCTCCTTTAAAGTTTGAGAGCACCATAAGAACTCCACATACAGCTTAAATCTAAACTTCGTAATGGTTATTTTTAAGTGGGAGAAAAGGCTATAAAAATAATATAGAGGTCCTTACAGTGACATATCCTTGACAAAGTAAAAAGGTCACTGTCACATGAGAGAGAATGAGTAGAGAAGTGTACCGGAGCGGCCGAGGGAGCTATGGAGACTGGAGAGGCCCCAGGGCAGTGCTACTCAAGGTGGCTCAGAGACTCGTACTGGTCTGTGAGCAGTTTCGTGCCAGGCTGCAATGTGAGGAGTTAGGAATTCAGAGTGTTTAGAAATGTGTTAGCATTCTGCCATTGCCGTGTGATGTCCAGCTGCATGGTCGGTGGACTTACCCTGCTGAGAGGGGTGTGGCCAGCTTGGCTGTGGCCAAGCTCGCGTGGTGGGTGGCATGCTGTGTGAACTGCACACTTGTCCCTGGGCTACGGGAACACATCTGAGTGTAGGAAGGACTGGGTATTTGTCAAACAAGAACCCTGGCCTTTTAGCACAGGCAGTTTGAGAAGGATTGCTCTGTCCTTCCACAAGCCCAGAAATCATTCCAACAGCGCTTCTGGGACAGAGAGGAGCTGGGGGTCAATTTGTTCATGTTCAGTCAAAAGGAAAACGGCTTGGGAACAAAACCAGATGGGACCAGAGCACTGGTCTAGATTCCTGGAGTAAGCCCGGACCAGGAAAGTAGGAGTGAGAATCTGTAAAAGGAAATTGCCGGTACAGCAGGCACATGGTTCAGAGACAGGGCCTTTTTCTTCTTCCCTCCTCCTCTCTCTCCTCGTCCAGGGTTTGGCTGGAGCTGGGAGAGATGTCCAGCCATTCAGGCCCTGAGACCACCATCACAAGTTTGCCTCCACTTTCCCACCTCCTACAGGGCAGAGGACACTCAGATTCAGACTGAGGCTCTTCCATACTCTGATAAGAGGCAGTAACTAGACCTTCCCGGATACCTTGAGGCTCCATCCTCAAACCACAGAATGTGTGGGATCACCTTAAGGGTGAAAAGCTTACCCCCAGGAAAGTGGCATGTCCGGAGCGCAAAGTGACTCAGAAGCTGAATGTCACCTGCCCTGTGCATTGTCTTCTGAGTATTGAAACAGGACAGCCAGTTGGTCTGACCAGAGTATCTGCCAACACAGGCAACCAGGGTCCAGAGATGCACTGGCTCCCAAAGAGAAGTGCAAGATCAACTCAATAATAATAATTTTGAAAACATGTTAATAATATATTACTAACAATAATAAAAATGTGAAACTTTAGAATCCAACACCAACTGAAGGGCTTCCCAGATTGAAAGAGCCAGAGGAAATGAGGCAAGATGGCCACTCGGTAACCTTGGCCAGCTGAGGGGCAGCCTGAGCTGGGGAAGGGTGGTGGCCGAATCCGGCACTGCAGTGTTATGAACAGGTCTGTAAACATTCCTCACGCTGCAGCTTACAGAAATTGAGGAAGATCAGAGAAAGACCTGAATGAAAAACAGGCCACGCTCCTCAATCAGATTATTTATTAGTCAAGAGAAAGGACCGAAGCTGCACCCCATGCCCGGTCCCAGGTCACCTGCTTAGTCAAGGGACAGGATTCAGAGAAATCAGAGGTCTCGAGTAAGCCAGAACACGTCTGGGGAAGAACAGTCTTTCATTTCCTAGACCTGACACTGTAATTATGTATGTTTTCCAGGGAGGGGGCCAATCAGAGTCACGGATGGCCCAGATGAGGGGAAACAGGATGGCCCTTCCTTACAACAGCTTGGGTGCAGAGAAGGGCTGCAATAAACAGGTATTTAAAGAGAGAGAAGAGAAGGAGAGGCAGGCGGCACAGGAAGGTCAAGGGCTGGGTTCACCCAGATCACACAGCATCATACAAAGACCCAAGGTGGTGACTTGAGCTCTCAAGCTACGACAGGGACCTGGAGGCTCAGACCCGGTGAGAGGAGAATCCCAGGGCTTCTCTTTCAGCCCTACTGTGATCAGATGCAAAAACCCCTACTTCCTTTTCGTCCATAGAATTCCCAACGGTCTGTCTGAAGGCAAGAGGACCTGGTGACAGACCTGCAGCCCCAGAGCCCGGGCCAAATGTCTCCCCATTCATTCCCAAAGGCCCTGCCCAAAAAACCAGAGAAATACGGAGTCCCAGGACTCTGTCTCTGCTCCCCACGTCCGAGAGAGGGAGTAGAGACAAGGCACGAAGACCCAGAATATAAAAGTGAACATCAGTGTGGCCATATATAACATTATTTGGGAGGGGGAGGAAGTGCATGCCCCCAAAGGGACGCTTTCCTTCAGCTGGTAGGTAGCTGGACCTTTGCCAGCAGTCGAAACCACGATGGAAGGGGCTCACAGACCGGGCCTGCCCGAGAGTCCTTATTACTAGAAAGACAGAGTAAAAGCGTCAGCTGGTATGGCACGATCTCAGCTGGGAGGGCGGAGGGCGGCGCGCAGACTGCTCCCGCAGACGATACTGCTGCCCCAGCTCCCAGTGGCTCTGCTGACTCCAGGTGTTCCTCACGGCTGGGATCAGCGACAAACACGTGCTGTGTTTCACATGATCAGACACTGTTCGCCATTGGCACCTGGTGGGCCCGATAGATTGAGGGCATCCAGGTCAAAGTTGAGGCCAGGAGGCTGGAGAAGAGACGAAGGGACTGAGGTTACTGCTCTTACCTCAAGTGACAGCTTCTGAAGTTGCTCCCCCTGTGGCCACCGTGATCGCCTCAGGTGGAATCTATCGAGACTACAGAATTCCAGCACCTTGGGCTCAGGCTCAAATCTGGGAGAAGGTATACTCACCATCTCCCCCGCCAGCTCTTTGGGAGGATGGCCCAAATCCTGTAGCTGGAAAAGAAGACGAACTTGAGTGGCAGAAAACAGCAGTCCAAAAGAAGAGAATCTGAGCCAGGGTCTCTCTCCTTTGTCCTGGGGACCAGGCTACGTGGCCTCTCTTGCGCTCCCTCCTCCAGCGGGGCTTGGCAGCGTGGCCTCCTTCCCAGGCCCCCGCTCCACTGAACGCACACGCAGCAGCACCGGGGTGGAGGGGCGGGGGGAGGGGGACACAGGCGGCATGAGGAGGACGGCTCACCTGCTGCATGAGATCCAGCACCACCTCAAAACGAGCCTTCTGAGTGGCCTCGCTGTCAGCGGGGGTCTCCGCCTCAAACTGCTCACATATCTTGCCCATGACACTATGCTGTTCCTGATATTTTTCAAACTGCTCTGGAGGAAGAGACTCCCGGTGAGTCTGCAGCCATTCTGGATACTGAGGAAACGGAGAACAGGTGGGGAAGAATTAATGGACAGTGGATACGAAGGGCAATAAACTCTGAAAAATATAATACGAAGGGGAAGGGGTCACAGGCGAAGGAAAAACTAAAGACGTGGGTAGCACGGACTCCAACAACGTCACCTGGCGGTGCTAGCATTTATGGTCACCAGAGGATGGCACACTTCTTCTGTGAAGAGCTAGACAGTAGATATTTTAGCCTTGATGGGCCGTATGTGATCTCTGTCACATATTTATTCCTTTTTCTGTTTTGAATTTACAACCTTTAAAAATGTTAAGAACCACTCTTAGCTTGACAGTTGGATTTGGGGCACCCAGACCCCGGTCTCCGCTGTCCACTTGACTCTTGACCACACATTGCACCCTGTCGTGGAAAAGCTTCTAGTCCAGTATTTTGTTTCTTTGGTGAAACTGTAAGCTCTCTGACAGCAGGGACCATCTTTTACACTATCTTAAATTGCTCATAACATAAAGCCAGTAAATCCTCAGTGAAACCTCATCAGAGAAATGATTGAAGTTAGAAATGCAAGAAAGGGGTACAGCCCCTCTGGACAACAGTGTGGAGGTTCCTCAAAAAATTAACAACAGAACTCCCCTATGACCCAGCAATAGCACCGCTAAGAATTTACCCAAGGGATACAGAAATGCTGATGCATAGGGGCACATGTACCCCAATGTTCATAGCAGCACTCTCAACAATAGCCAAAACATGGAAAGAGCCTAAGTGTCCATCAACGGATGAATGGATCAAGAAGATGTGGTTTATCTATATGATGGAATACTACATGGCAATGAGAAAGAATGAAATCTGGCCATGTGTAGCAACATCGATGGACCTTGAGGGTGTTATGCTTAGCGAAATAAGTCAGGCAGAGAAGGACAAATATCATATGTTTGCACGTATAGGTGGATTAGGAGGAACTTAATGGAGGACCATGGGGGAGAAGAAGGGGGGAAATGGTGGGGAAAGGGAGAGAGGCAAACCATGAGAGACTCTTGAATGCTGAGAACAAACTGAGGACTCATGGGTTTGGGGGGGAGATAGGGGAGATGGGCATGGAGGAGGGCACCTGTGGGGATGAGCACTGGGTGTTATATGGAAACCAACCTGATAATAAACTATTTGTAAAAAAAAAAAAAAAAAAAAGGAAAGAAAAGAAAAGAAAAAGAAATGCAAGAAAGGGTTGATCAGACAACAGTCTGGAACCAGTTTACTGAAAACCAGAGCTGAAGAACCTCCCCTTCTACCTTAAACATGTTCAGTGTGGTACCTTCATTCCCAGAAAATAGCTCCTTCCCAGCTCTCCTGCTCCAAATAAACAAAGGAGAAAAGAGTGGATGGACTGTGCATTCCAGTTACCCTAGCGCTGTAGATTCTAGGCAGACAAAGTAGCCTGCCAGCGCCGATGCAATAGAAAACGAGGAGGAAAGGCGGAAACAGAAGTCCCCAGACCTTTTCTGTGATCTCCTTCAGTGACGGGTACAGCACGTCCTTGGACAGTAGGTTCTGCATGATGCTCTGCATGATGGGGAGGATGTTCCCTTCGCCGTCCCCTTCTTCCATGCCCAGCCCTTCCATGGCCTTGGTCAGCTCCTCCTCTGACATGCCTGAGTTCTATAAAGGACAGGAGAGAGGAGAGCAAATACAGACAGTCTCTGACTTAGGACCACTTTTCAATTTTAGATGGTGTGAAAGGGACGCACATTCAGTACAAACTGTACTTCAAATTTCAATGTGGATCCTTTCCCGGGCTAGCGATCTGTAGATGATACTCCCTCGTGATGCTGGGCTGTGGCCGTGGCTCCCATGATCACCAGGGTCAACAACCGATACACTGACAACCATTCTGTCCCCATGTAACCACTCTGTTTATCACTTTCAGTACAGCAGTCACTAAACTACATGAGATACTCAACACTATTAAAAAATAGGCTTGGAGGGGCGCCTGGGGGGCTTAGTCGGTTAAGTGTCCGACTTTCGCTTAGGTCATGATCTCGCGGTTCATGGGTTCGAGCCCCGCATTGGGCTCTGTGCTGACTGCCAGCTCAGAGCCTGGAGCCTGTTTCAGTCTGTGACTCCCTCTCTCTCTGACCCTCCCCTGCTCACGCTGTCTCTCTCTCTCTCTCCTAGAAATAAATAAAACATTTAAAAAAATAAAAAATAGGCTTGGTGTTGGATGACTTTGCATGCCTGTAGGCTAATGTAAGTGTTCTAAACACACTTAAGGTAGGCACGGCTAAGCTGTGATGTTCGGGAGAGTAGGTGTATTAAATGCATCTTCAGCTTATGGTATTTCCAACTTATAATGGATTTTTTCGGGATGTTACCCCCTCGTAAGTTGAGGAAAATTGCTTCTTGGGATGCTTAGCACCCTTTCAATTGGAAAGAACTATTTAAACTTGCCTGCAGCAAAACAGCATGGCAGGGACAGACTTCAGAGGCTACCCAAAAGAGTCTGTCTTTTTGCTGATGTGGCTGAGGGGCTCTCGTGGCCCCTACCCCTTTCCCTCACCTGAAGATCAGTGGCATTTTTGGCGAGTCCACTTAGTGTCTCCTTCAGGCAAGACGTAAATTCTTGTTGGGAGGTTGCATCACTGCCTAGGAAAGATCGAGAAAGCCCAAGTCTTTTGGATTTTTACTGTCTGCTTACCCAGACTGAGCTGGTTATCAGCTTGAATATGCAGCATTTACTGGTGAGTCACTAGCACTCCGAATCTCTGAATCCTCCATGGTCCTCTTCACAGTCACCTTCACAAATCTACTTGAACTGGGTGTCACTTTGTTCTCGGCGATGACACCCACAACACTGTGACCTTTAAAACGGTCAGTTTTCAGTAATCTTCTCTGTGACTTTTCAGCCTCCCCCCTTTCAGGAGGCAGTGTCCCCGGTCCCCGTCCCTCCTCCCATCTCCTGGCCCCACCCAACGGCAGTGATACGAGGAGTGCTATCAGCTTTATGAAGATAAGCGTGCCCTCTGCATGCAACAAAGATGGTAGAGGTAAGCTCAGGTACTTCCAGCCCCCCAGGGCCACCGCCTCACCCACTCTCCCCGCAGCCTCAGAGAGCTTTTGGAACTGCTCCACCAGGTGGGGCTCTTCCTCTGCCAGCTCCTTCATGGCCTTCTCGAACTCCGCAGTGGCTTGGGAAGCAAGCTCGCTGTCGAACAGTTCTTGGAAAAACTTCTCTTGGGAGGCGAAGAGGGCATCCTGCAGGGAAGGGGTGGCCAAAGTGCATCTCTTACTTGGCACCCCTCTGACAGGGACCACGGGCAGAGCCTCTGGGAAATGCATTGCTTCCCTCCTGCCCAGATTTTCTAACTACCTCTCTTAAGGAGGACAAAAGGCACCTGGCCACTGAGGAAAGGGTATAGGGTGGCATTCCCAAACCAACCATTTAAATCTGCTTTCTTTTCAAAGCACTTCCTCAAGATCCCATCGGTGTGAGGCCAGGCCCCCTCCCCCCAATCCATTCCAGCCCACAGGGACCTGCCCCACCTCTGCTCAGCTGCATGCTCATCCCCTCCCCCTCCCTTAAGAGGGTGGAATTTATACTTTGGCAGTGTCTCCTGGCGATCTCTTCTGGGGCCCTGAAGCATCAGGGGCCATGGTGGTAGGAGGGGGTGCTGGGGAGGGTTTGGCCTTATCGAAATCATCAAGAGCACCTTCAGAGACAAGAGACATAGTGTGTGTGTTGGGGATGGATGCGGATGCAAGGCTTGGGGAGGGGGGCAGGTAAGTTCTGGGCAAAGCATCCTGAGAACGATCGTTCAAAGTGCCAACTTTCCTAAATTTTTCTCCCCCTTTTTTTAAGTGTCCCTCTTCTGGCCCACCCCTCAATAAGCTTCCCACTCCCCTCTTCATTAGCCAATTTATTGTGATCAAAGAGAAAGAAATCGCTTAAGGTGTAAGAGGCGTCTCTCTCATAGCAGGGAAGAGAGAGTTAAAAGTTCTGCAAAGACCTCTCTCTACATAGTGACTTTCCTGCCACATTCTAAAGATTCCCCAGAAGTTCCACACAAATATCCAACAAGAGCAGAGAGCACAGGTTCTTAAACTCCTGAAGTCACTCTGGAGCCCTCGAGGGCATAATTTTTGGCAAGAAAGCAAAAGCCACAAACTTTTGTTCCATCCAGCTTCCCATGGGTCCTGGTACTAGCACAAACGAGGGAGAGCAGGGTACAGTCCCTAGGGGAAACGGAACTCTCAGAATTCTCTTATCCTCCGATTTAGCCCTCTGGCCTCCTGTCTGCAGATAACTGTGTGCCAATCCACAGAGTCACTTGGCACTCCTCACCGTTTCTGTTCATCTTTCTGCCTGCCCACATCTCTGTGACTGGGCAAGAGACAAAACATATACACCTCTGCCCTAAAAACCGGAGTCCTCGCCCCCAATCTGCTTGCCGGGCTTGGAGGGAGGACACTGGCCCCACTGTGGGCGAGAAACCAACAGAAGAGTGGAGGACAGGGAAGAAAAGAACACCCAGCCTCTTTCAGGAGGGTGAGCTGTCTCCCCCTCAAGCCGTCTCACCCTCAGTTTTTCAGAGTAATGGAAGGCAGTCGGCTTGGGCTGTCTGACCTGGTAAAAGTACTGGAATGGGGCCTGGTGAGGGAAAGGTGAAAGGCCTGGCGAAAGGCAAAAAAGGGGGAGAGGACAGTGTACAGAAGGCCGCGCCATGGGCTTGTCTCCACTTAACGCGAGCAGTCGGGTTCGCTGCCCACCAAGCTGCAGCTGGCGGGAAGGAAGTTAGGTAACAAGAACCTGCTCACCTAAACCTACGAGAGTTCGGTGCCAGATCGTGAAACACCGTCCGGTGGGCCACTGCTTCCCCTCCGGCAGGGAGATCAACGGTCTGAGACCCTCAGGGGCCCAAGGTGGGCTCCCTAGCTCCCGTCGCGGAGGAAGGAGAGGGTGACCCAGAGATTTTCTTCGGAGTCACAGGCAGACCCTCTGCCCCCGGCCAACCTTTGGAGGGCCTCACCCGCTCCGCCCCCAGTACCTAGGGTTCAGTTTACCCCAGAATGAGCCCTTACAACCGCCCCGCGTCGGGCCCTCCCCTTCATGAGCTCTTACTTTCCAGAAGCTCTTCCAATTCCCGATCCGCGTCGGCCCCAGCCCCACAGTGCTCTTCAGCAGCGGCCATCTTGCTATCTCCGGCTTGCCGTAGGAGGCGGGTCTTAGCAGCGCCTGTGTCTCGGTCCCGCCCCTGAGCCCCGCCCCTTGTCATCGTGTAACCAATAGCAATGCAGGCCGGTCCGGAGCCGCCATTTTTAAAGGGACAGGAAGCTCTGTGGGTTGGGTTTGTGGTTTTTTCTTTCCTTCTTTCTCGCTGGGAACCGTTGAACTAACGGAGTAGAACTCACTGTCAACTTCTACCGGGTTACTGACTAGCCCGGCTTCCTTTATCTCAACTTTTCGTGTTATCCAGAGAAGAAGCTCTTTCATCATGCTTCTCAACACTTAGCACTTTGACATTCTATTGATTTTACTTCCCTTGTTTACACTGGGCCCCCAGGCACTGAATGGACTTTGAACACCCAGCGGGCAAAGATTGCCATCCGTAGTCTTCACTGCTGTACGCTCAGCTCCAAGGCGAGGGCCTACAACCCCGCGGGCGCTCACTGACCAGCCCTCCCAGAGCCTGGTGAGGCCCACCTCTCTGTGGGATCCAGCGGCTCACTTTCTACTCTCCGTCAGGACTACCAGAATGAAGGACACGGGGCTAGGAGCTCAGTTGGAGCACAGTGTGAGTTGGAGCAATTCAGGCAGAAAAAGCAAGTCTGGAACCTTGGACTGAAACAGAGGACCCTTAGTCGTGGTAGCGATAGACCTGCCTTCCCTAAACCATCCCGTTTTCTCCGTATAGAACCCAACCTCCAATCCAGTGAAGCTGGGTAAAGAAAATCCCAGACACCCCCGCCCTCCTCTGGGATGGTCCTCCTCTTCAGACGGGTCAGAACTGCCTCCCACGCAAATCTGTGTTAGCGTTTAGAGGGCATCCACTGTTGTGCAGCATCCTGTGCGGGGCACAGCCCAGAAGAGAGAGGCAAGTGGGACCAGCCCCTGCTGTAAAATAGCTGCCTGAGGATTAGGCTGGAGGTAGGAGGAGACGTACACACAGGAAGTATGGCACAAGGCAAATGTCTTTTTTTTTTTTTTTTTTTTATTTTTTTTTATTTTTTAAATATTTTTATTTATTTCTAGGAGAGAGAGAGACAGCATGAGCAGGGGAGGGTCAGAGAGAGAGGGAGTCACAGACTGAAACAGGCTCCAGGCTCTGAGCTGGCAGTCAGCACAGAGCCCGACGCGGGGCTTGAACCCACGAACCGCGAGATCATGACCTAAGCGAAAGTCGGACGCTTAACCGACTAAGCCACCCAGGCGCCCCAGCAAATGTCTTAAAAGTATCAAGTGCTATAAAGTTTAAAAGGGAGAAGTCACATCTAAATGAAGTCACTTAGGGGCACCTGGATGGGCTCAGTCAGTTGAGCATCTGACTTCCACTCAGGTCATGATCTCACAGTTCCTGAGTTGGGGCCCGCATTGGGCTCCCCTGCTGTCAGCTCAGCATCCCCTCTTTTTGCCCCTCCCCCACCCACACTCTCTTTCTCTCAAAAATAAACTTTTTTTAAAATTTAAAAAAACAAACCAACTAAATGAAGTCACCTCATGGCTTTCATCCTTAGCTTCCTAAATGCACACTTGAGTACTGTGTCAAGCACCAGATTAGGGACTCTTTCCTTCACAGACAAGGCACAGGATTTTCAAGTCGTATCTGTGCAAAACGTACTGTATTCTTGCAGACACAAGTGATGTGACTCGGGAGATAACATTCTGACCTGAAAGTCAGAAGCCTTAAGTCCCAGTCCCAATTCTGTAACGAAGTATTTTGTTCAAAACCCTTTATCACTCTAGGCCTCAGATTACAACTATGTAACATTAAAGTTCTTTTCAGTTCTAAACTTCTGTAACCTAATCCTCCTCTGATTAGCCTCTTTCTCCCCAATACCTGTTATTCCAGGCTTTCTCATTTAACTCCAACCCACTTGCATGTGTATCTCTAATAGGACTGTAGTTTTATCAAGCACATATTACAGGCATTTTTCTCTTGGCCTTATATTATTATGTTAATATAAACGTAAGAAAAACACTGGAGGTTACTGGAGAGGAGGATGGGAGTTGAAACATGAATTTCCCTTTGCAGCATCTCTTAAACTTGCTTCTCCTTTTCTATTCTTACCAGTGTGATTCTAACACCTCATCTCCATAGTTACTCACCTCCTGCCTAATGTAGAGTGAACGTGGTTGCAGAAACCTTATTTTATATTTTCTTTCTGTCACTCTCTTGCTTAAGAACTTAATGGCTCTCGGGGCGCCTGGGTGGCTTAGTTGGTTAAGCGGCCGACTTTCGCTTAGGTCATGATCTCGCGGTTCGTGGGTTCGAGCCCCGCATCGGGCTCTGTGCTGACTGCCAGCTCAGAGCCTGGAGCCTGTTTCAGTCTGTGACTCCCTCTCTCTCTGACCCTCCCCTGCTCACGCTGTCTCTCTCTCTCTCCTAGAAATAAATAAAACATTTAAAAAAAATAATAATAAATGAGAAAACCATAATCCTTTAAAAAAAAAAAAAAAAAAGAACTTAATGGCTCTCCACTGTTTACTGACCAACTTCAAATTCTCGCCAGGTATTCACCATTGTTTTACATATGTCCATGTTGTGTCCACAACTGCATAAGCTTCAGAAAGCGCGGATTGTCCTTTTTTTTATATCCCTCAGTTCAGAATAAAGTTTATGCTTGTGTGCAAAGTTAGTCTTGTTAACTTTTAAACTTACAAAAAGATTTTTGCCAAGATTTATCACCAACTTGCCTATGTTTACAGAAGAAAATGTTTATAACTTGAGAAAGTGTCATCAAAGAATGCAAGTTTTTGAGAAGGCAGACTTTGTTTAGGATACTAAGTTTAAGAAAGCAACTCTTGGAGCTAAACAAATATAAAGACCTGTGCTCTTTGATGCAGGAATTCCATTTCCAGGAGTTTGCCCTCCAGACACACTTCCCCAAACTGTACAACGCATGTTAAAGTTATTCATTGTAGCACTGTTTAGAATAGCCAAAGATTGAGAACAATCCAAATACCCACCAACAAATAAGGTATCTTACAGAAATTATAGGAAATTGTACAATGGCATGCTATGCAGAAGTTAAAAAAGGGAAGCTGATATATGATATAGAAAAAATCTCTTCAATACGTTACATGATAAAACAAGTTGGGGGGGGGGAACCTGGGTGGCTCAGTCCGTTAAACGCCCGACTTCGGCTCAGGTCATGATCTCACAATTCGTGAGTTTGAGCCCCACATTGGGCTCTGGGCTGACAGCTCAGAGCCTGGGGCCTGCTTTGGATTCTGTGTCTTGCTTTCTTTCTATGCCCCTCCCCCACTCATGCTCACACACTCTCTCTCTCAAAAATAAATAACTTAAAAAATTTTTTTTTCTTAAGTGTGGGGGGTGTGTGTGCCTGGGTGGCTTCAGTTGGTTAAACGTGTGACTCTTGATTTCAGCTCAGATCATGATCTCACAGTTCCTGGGATTGAGCCCCACATTGGGCTCTGTGCCAATCCCTGCTTGGGATTCTCTGTCTCTCCCTCTGCCCCTCTCCCACTTGTGCATGCATGTGCTCTTTTCCAAATAAAAAATTTTGGGGTGGGCACCTGGTGGCTCGATCGAAGTGCCCGACTCAATTTCAGCTTGAGTCATATCTCACAGTTCATAGGACTGAGCCCTGCCATCTGGCTCTGCGCTGACAGCGTGGGGCCTGCATGGGATTCTCTCTCCCCTTCTCTCTGCTTTTCCCCTCTCACGTGTGTGTGCATGTGCTATCTCAAAATAAGTAAGTAAACATTAACCTAACAAGGTGCAAAATCATTTAGTAAAGCATGTTTCATATATGTATAGCAGGGAAATGGGGAAGAATACATTTATATCTGCTTGTATATACATAAACCACTGGAGCACATAAGGACGCGATCAGCAGTGGTTACTTGTTTTGGGAAAGGTAAAAGCAACTGGGGAGCTGAGGAAAGGAGGGGGAGGAAGACGTAACAGAATAGCTTCTTACATTTACTGATTTTTGAACTATATGAATGTATTTTTACTGAAAATGAATTTTTAAAAATTTAACATTTATTCATTTTTGAGAGACAGAGACAGAGTGTGAATGGGGGAGGGGCAGAGAGAGAGGGAGATACAGAATCCGAAGCAGGCTCCATGCTCTGAACTATCAGCCCAATGTGGGGTTTGAACCCGTGAACTGTGAGATCATGACCTGAGCTGAAGTCTGACGCTTAATCGACTGAGCCACCCAGGTGCCCCTGAAAACAAGCTTAAAATGAAAAATACAAACCGTAATCAAAAGCACAGAGTGCCGATCCACCCAATGTAGTGTGAGCACATAACAAGCAAAACACTGCATTGCCAATGTAACCGCTGTCATGTGTATTACCTGTAAAACACCCGGAACAGCAACAGGTGCCTGGTAGGTGCTCAGTAAATACCGGTTATAACTAGCAAAAGGGGGAAGGTTGCTCTCAGTAACACAACAGGGAAGCTACTTGCTTGCTATGTTCTCACAGTTTAATATATGCTATGAAAAATATGTGTTTTTTAAAAAGACAATGGCATTTATTACTTTCGTAATTTTAAAAAAAGGTATCGGGACACCTAGGTGGCTCAGTCGGTTGAGCACCCAACTTTGGCTCGGGTCATGATCTCACAGCTCATGGGTTCAAGCCCCAGGTCGGGCTCTACACTGACAGCTTGGAGTCTGGAGGCTGCTTCAGATTCTCTGTCTCACTCTCTCAAAGATGACAGACAGACAGACAGAGAGGTAGGTAGGTAGGTACGCAGGTAGATAAAAATAAAGAAAAGTTTTCTTCAGTATCACTACCTCAAGGAGCTAGACACAAACACAGAAATATCTGCTTTGCTGGGGCAGCTACATAAAGGAGGAACATGAGAGTGTCCAGGAAACAAATGGAGCCACAAAGCTCTCAGAAATTTGCTTTATTAAATGTGAGAAACAAAACACAAGAACGAGGGCTATAAAGAACAAATCTAAAAACTGATGTGCATTCTTGGGAAACCAGTTTCTTCT